GAACAATGGAATAAGGCAACTGGTAAATGTTGAAATGTAACACCTTTCTGCTTACAAGGAGCTTTATGACTCAGAACAAGCAAGCAATGCGAAATACAAGTGGCAGGTCAAACAGCTGAAGCAAGCAAAGAGGTATTTTGTGACATGGGAACTGCAACTAATTTTGTTACCATGCTACAATCCTGTCAAAAAAAGCTGCAGTAAGTCACAGTTTCCAGTATTTGGTTAAAAAGACCACAAAAGCCTTCATCAAAATTTCTACATCAGAAAGAACAGGTTTTGCCTCTTAAAATACAAACAACACTGTTAAGTACTGCACAGGCAAGGGCTGCAAAACTGTAATCCAATCTCAAGGCCCCTTTACACTGATATTTCCAAACACTTCATAGTACTATTTAGTGAAAAAAGTACCTTTTAGATCTTAATACAAACTGTCCAGAGGAGACGAAAGAGGGTTAGACCCACAGTCTGCAATTCTGCATGAGTTTTGTCAGATTTGCAGAGATACTATATATTTTAAATAAATATATATATAAAAATATATAAGTGAATGATGTTGTACATACCCATCTAGTGCTGTCTTGACCTGACTGGCTTCCTCTGCCTTTTGAAAAACCTGCTCCATTCTAGGAAGACCAAAGGAGAAAGGGAAAAAAAAAAGTTTAGTATGAATTACTCCTTAGGATTTCTTCAAATGCTTTTAGAGGCACTTAAGCAGTCGGCACACTATAATGACTGCGATGACTGTGGTTATGCCGGCGGTCTCAGCCCCGTAGAGGATGTGCGGTCACGGTCAGCCCTTCTCGCTTAGTGTGTTTAGAGGGACGACACAGGCACTGGGGACTCACAGACACGCAGGGGCTGCACGAGCAGCCCTCAGGTCTCTAAGTCCGTTTGGCACTATGTGTAAAATGGGAAGGTGACAGGCAAGCAGGCAAACACCACTGCGGGAAAGACAAGGTAGGGCCATTCCTCACTCTGCTCAGATGCAGTCCTAGAGAATTAAACCTGAACGAGAGTATAGCCCTATCATGAAGGCAAATGCCTCAGCTTCTGCCTTTGGAAAAATCTGAATCGTTCACAGCCTTATTCGTTCATCTTTTCTAGTCAGAAAACACAGAGAAGCCAAGATGGAGGAAGATTATTACCTCTTGTAACAGTAGATATAGTGTAAAACTGGTAAATATTGCCATGCAAAAACAGGATACCCACAAGGTCTTCTGCAAAAACAAAATGAAGGCACGCGGTTGACAGAAGTTCCTATAAACCACGAATTCCTCAGAAGAAGGGCGTTTCATTTCTAGCAATGCTTTCCCCGTTTCAGAAAGATTACCTTGAACAAATCATTTTAAATCACCACTTGAGGTATGAAAACGGGGTTTGGTCTTCAATGCCTTGAAAATTACAGAAAACGAACTACAGATACAGCATTGAGATGATTCTAAAAATCCCTACCAAGGATTCTAAACACTCCTTATTCTTTTTCTAAAAGCTCTGCTTCTGAACAAGAGGGAGAGAATAAATTCCGGAGGCACAAATCCTGGGAGAACACACCATTTTCCCTGCCCGTTCCCGCCGCTGGAGGGGGGTTCCTGCAGCCAGGGCTCACCCTGCCCCCCGCGCCCCGCGGCGCCCGGCGG